TGGCAGCTCTGCCATCTTTTCTCTGTCTTACATTAGCAACCTGATGGGCAGCTTGCTCTTACGGGCCATTTTGTGGAGGAGCCGCCATTTAGGAGACATCTGCGATGACCAGAGCGCGGGGAAGCACGCCACCGTTACTTGTCAGATGAAGCAGCGTCTCCTTCCTCGTCTCAGGAGACCTCTGAGAGCTCACGGCAAAAGGAGCCGGGTTATCTTCCCTACGAGAAGGGCTCGTTGCTGTCTGTTTCCCGAATTGAGGACAGCTGGAGCTGGTGGTGAGCGCAAAACTCAAGTCCAGCTCCATTTTTAAAGACCTCAAAGTGTCAAAGTGTGTAGAAGACTCTTTTTAGCATAAACGTCAAGCTAACGTCACAATAGAGGCATAAACCAAAACAATTACCCGGGATGCCTTTTCTTGGCTTGCAATTCAGTTATCTCCTTGCACAGAACATGGTCAAGCAGTTTAAGGGATGCAGGATCTGGAAAATTTTCTTTGGAAGGAAGAGCCAAGTTGCAACAGGCTCTCGAGTGGGTGAAGGCCGTGTCCCGGGCGCGGCTGCAGAGGGAAGCGGCCCCTCAGTGGACGGAACAGACCGCTGGGCCCGCTCCGGGCAAGGCGAGGCTGAAGGCCAGCCAGCCTCCTGTCTGTGTTGGCATGTTCCCCGAGGAACTTGGTCTGCTCTGGGTCCCCGCGGCTGGACCTACAGGGCCGAGCAAAACTTGGAGCCATCAAAATCACACAACTCTGGTCAGAGCCATTTATTTGGCAAATAGGAATCTGATTCAGAAAACCTGAAGACGAAGTACGAGGGACCTCTCTGGAAGGTCTTCCAGCGTGAGCACACCTGGGAGACTAGTGGCTGTGTTTCTCACAAGCAGAACAGGATCCAACAAGCTGAACGCACACCATGTCATCTTCCCCATCGCTTCTGGATGGCGAGAGCTGCATTATGACAGGCGGTTACGAATTTCCCCTGACGACTTAAAGACTGGTGGGTCCTAGTTGTTCAAAGAAATATTTGCAATCAGTGAATCTGACACCTGCACTTTATGGTTGCGGAAACTGAGGCCCGAGAACAGGAAAACAGTGGCCCAAAGGCTGGGGCTGGTGAGTGGCAGAGGGAAACCCGGGCCTCCCAGGGACAAGGCTGCGCTTCTTGGCGGCTCCACAGGGTTCCTGAAGGTCTTTCCAGAACAGCTCGGAGTCTGCGTGGAGAGGTGGGGTCTGATTAGACCCATGTTTGCACAGGACCAGCGGCACAGAGTGTGTGCCTCTCATAGTTCTCTCATTTAGCACGGGATCCCCAGGGTGCTGGAGGGACAGTGATTGTTTTTGCTGTTTCTGCTGCATTATAGGTGAGGACAGGAAGCTCAGAGAAGATGAGCGGCGGCTGAGCGGTAGAATTAGACCCATGGCGTGTGGTTTTGATTCTCACCAGGCGCTTTTCCACATACCAAGTGTCTCCGACTCCCTGAACCCCAGTGTGCCATGGGGCGGCCGGGGGTTCAGAAGCAGGGAGAGTGTCTTTGGGCACCTCTGTAGGTGCTCCCCGCGGCCGGGTGGCTGGACAGTGTCCTCTCCAGGCAGGAAGGGTCAGTGGTCTGCAGCCACGGAAGCAGGTGGACTTTCAAAGGAAAGCAGTAAGAGGAGTTTGCTGGAAATCAAGACCAGAGGCTTTCCCCTTCCTGTTCCTCTCCAGGGGCCCAGATGGAGGCAAGAACATGAGGGGTGAAGGCGGGACTGAGGGGACCCTGTGCGAGGCTTTGCACGGCCTGACAGCGCCCTGCACCGTGCTCTGGGCCCACCTTTCCAGCTCCTTCCATCCCCAGCACCATGTGCTCTGTTCTCAGTGGTCCAGCAGGTTTATGCCGTGCCTACCTGGGGCTCAGAGGCTGCGATGGGGCTGACGTGGAGGGCGAGATGGCAGGACAGACTGACGAGGAAACAGAAGAAAAAGGGATTTGCCTGTTTTCCCGTGGAGTTGTCTTCCTCCATTGTATATTTTGCTCTTTGTTTCTTCCTTGGAATTCTTGCTTTTCCAACTTTGCTTTTGGGTTCTCAAATATTATTTCATTCGTCTACTCGTGCTCCCCTCTTCCCCCCTTCCACAGTCATGGTACGTCCCTTGGAGAACCCAAACCACTTTCATCCTAAGGAAAATGTTCAGTCTCCTGGAATCAAAGAATTCCTAGGGAGGAGTCGGGTTCCTGGAAAACCATCAACGGCACTGGAACCAATTTGTTCTTTGATGTGTTATCTTTGATTTCATAGTAGGTGGGTCTTTCTTACCCTTCATGGTATATTTGCAGGGAGGGAGAGACAGACAGAGACAGAGAGAGACAGAGAGAAAGAGAAGTGTTCTGGAAGGTCAGGGTGCAGAACGTCAGCTTGGCAATGTTCATCGACACCTTTGGAGTTTCCGAACCACAGGAGAAGGAAGGAAGTTTTCGGTTCCGAGTCACACGGCCCCACATCATTAGTTCCCAGCATTGTGAGTCAGCTGTTCAGCTTGTGGCTTCACCCATCGGCTTTTATCTCCTCTGCAGGCCTATTTCAAGTGTGCTTTGTTGTAGGATCTCAGACCACAAGTGTATTTTGAAGCCACTCAGTGCAACCAGGCCCTTGCAATCTTTTTCCGTGGCTGGTGCCATTAAATCTACTCTCTAATAAACATAACCACCTTCTTGAACTCATAAAGAATCCCAAAGTGCTGGAGGAAGACATTGAAAATAATCAAAGGCTCTTTCTCAGAGAGGAGAGACACGATCCAGGGCTTGTTCTCTTGCTCAGAATGAGAACACGCAGCTGTGCAGCCTGGAGGTGCTCTGTCAGCAGAGGGAGGAGCTGGGGGGTCTCAGACCAGAGCCCCTGCCTGCTCTGGGCTCGCCTGATGCAGAAGCACCTCCTGGAAAGCACTATGCATGATTGGGCCCTGTCCAATCAACGACGGAGAGGCCTTGATGTTTGGAATATGGCCCTTGAAGAGTTCTTTGCCATCAGTAACAATCTTGGGGAGCCTGTTGGGGTGCGTCTCTGTGCGGCAGCTTTGCCTCTGGTTTCATGTGATACTCTGTCTTCGATTTCCCTTCACTCAATGGACACGTAAACACCACGCACAAACATGCACACAACCCTCCAGTGCTTCTTCACATGTTTTAACAGTCTTCAGGAGCACGTTCTGGCAAGCCAGTCCACATCCTGTCTGGACTGGAACGGGGTGTCCGTAAATGAACAACTAATAAACACAAAGAACCTATTATTGGAGACCTGCAGTGTGTCCTGTGTACCTGCGACGTTTCCACTGGAGGTCAAAACCCCAGCGGCCACACATAGACGGTGCTATGCAGAATATTTGGTTACTTTTGGCCAGGTATTTAAACATACGCAGGAAAGTCGGTCTGGGATGAAGATGTGGAGGACAAGGGTGCTGCTTTTCCTTTGCCAAATGATTTTTTTGAAAGAGAAAGATGGAACATTCTGTCGAAAGTTTCTTATTATTATCTGAGCACCAAAGCCCAATCCTACCCTTCTTTGCGTCTGGGGATTTCTGGCAAGGTCTCTGCCTCTCCGTGGTCTGCTTTCTGATGGCAAAGTGTCTCTGGTGGAGGAGAGAATAGGGCAGGGGGGCGTCCATTGGTTTCAGGGTGACGGGAGCAAGTCGCCCCTTTTGGGGCTTCAAAACGTCTGTCCATCCTCTGCTGTCCCCTCACACACACTGCACGTTCGCTGCTGCAGGATGACAGCATGCCTCCAGGCCCAGCACTGCCTCTCCGCAGCCTGGGGACGGCAGGGGCCCACCCAGGAAGGCATAGGCGCTCCGGCCCCGGCTTCACCGCGCTGGAGTCCCAACCAGGTCTGAGTGTCCCAGGGAACATGCCCCTCCCAGGTGGACGGGGCCCTCACTAACTTCCTGGGGGCAGAGGAGTCTGCTTGAAACAAAGAGCCACCGAGAGAGCCCTTTGAGAAGCAAGCACAGTGCCTCCAACTGGACACGATTCGGGTGAAACACCAGCTCTGGGAGCAGTATCCAGCCCGCCCCACTGAGGTTCTCCGGGATGGAGGCTCACGCCCACCGCAGCTTCACGGACAAGCCCTTCTGTGAGCCAGCTGCCCACAGTCACGGTGCTTGGGCTCCCCCGCCCCCACACTCAGTCAAGCGTGTCAGAGCAATGCTCTCGCTGTTTTCACGTTCAAGCACATGCTTTCAACCTTTTGCATTTTCCCAGGTTAAATAAGCCAGGCACCAGGGCCCAGAGCCTGCTATCATCTGGAAGCGCAGATCCACAGATGGGAGCCCGAGTGGTGGCCGCCTGCCCCTCGGAAGCAGCAGGGTGACTCAGGGATGACTCAGAGCCTCCTCTGGGGTCTTCCCTTCCTGTTCCCTCCCTGCTGTCCGCACAGTCGCCGCGAGGTCCCTAGTGCTCTGAGAAACAGCCTCTGCAGGGAGATGGAGGACAGAAAACAGCGCTTGTCCTCCGCCCAAGGGAGGCTCAGCCAAGCTCAGGTGAGGACGTTACTCGTGGCCACAGCAGGTAAGGGTTTAATTCAGCTAGTATGTAGTGAGCGCACAATATCTGTTAGGCACTGGTTTTCAAAGAAGACACGCACACAGGCAGGTCAAGGCCACGGTCGCAGGCCCCCTCTCCGAGGCCAGCACTGCCCGCTGCCCTGGCGTCTGTGGAATCACCTGTGGCCCAGCGGGCTCCCGTGGGCGTGTCACTGCCCGGCCCCAGGGCCCGCCCTTCCCAGCTCGTCCACGCAGGATCCCGCACCCGGAATCAAAGGCAGCGCCCACGTCTCTCTTGAGGATTTTCCTGACTTCACACATTTTCCTTTGTTTGCTTCCCCTTAGAGCTGCCCATTCACTTCGCCAAACATGACTTACAAATGCCCCTCAGCCAGGAGCGTGCCCTGGACACCACTTGTATGGACCGAGGACAGCGGGGGCCCTTGGCTCGAAGTGTGGCCCCAAGGAGGGGCGGACTGGGCGGCATCTTACCTTGTACATGTTGCACAGCCCGGGCCGGCTGTGGGCATGAGAGGGCAGAGGGCTCCTGCTCTGCTTGAGCCAGGGTACCTGCCAGAGGGACACAGAGTGGCCGTTTGAGTCCATGTGGGCACGCTGGCAGAGCCCCAAGTCCTCCAGCAATGTCCTGTCCTGCCCAGGCTTGGCGGGACCTGGGCAGTGAGGAGGGGGAAGTGGGAAGGAAGATTAGAAGTCAAGGGGTGTGTGAAGATGGATGGATGATGGACCAGTAAGAGGCCAGATGTTAGGGACACCACGAAGGAGAAGATGGTGGCATGATCTCCCAGGAGAGATGGATGGACGTCAGAAAAAAAGGAAGAAGAGGAAGGATTTAGGAAAAATTCTTTCCTTTAGAGTCTACTCTGGGACCCTAAAGCTGATTATGTGACCAAATTTTCCTACAATCGTAGCAGGCACCAGATGTAAGATTTCTGAGAGCAGGTAAAGAAGCATCTTCCAGACCGATGTGAGGCGCTGAGGGCTTTCTGAAGATCACCATGGAATAGACCCATTTTTACACTCAGTTTTATTTGTGGAGCTTTATGCTTTTTCTTTTGTAGCAAGTGTGTCAGCTTCTGCACTGGATTTACAAGTGGGAATCTTCCTGCTCTCGAGGTGACTGTGGCTATCACTGTGGGCGTTCTCAGTTTTTTATGGGCATAAGGACATCATTTTAAGGGTACCAGAGTGCTCAAAATCACCGGCAACACCGGGAGTCACACTTTGTCGCCGACATCCTTCCTTGTTGTTGGTGATGTTTAGGAGCTTAATAGTAACAGGAACTTAATATACCTTGACATGAGCTATGCACTGACCTTAACTCTATTGTTATAAATCTTCCTCAATAGAATTTGCTCCTAATTTAGTGTGTTTTCCCTATTCTCTTAGCTGTAAGCAGTGTGGTCGAGAGAAGAGTATTGCAGGACCAAGGTCAAGGTCTGCAGAGAGTTCCTCGCTTTTGACCTTCCACAGCAAAATGGCGCCAGAGACGGGGAGAGAGAAAGAGAGGGAGAAAGAGACAAAGACAGAGGGAGAGCGAGACACACACAAAGCTTTCTAGTGGTCAAGAGATAAAATCAAGGCAATAGGTTTCAAGAGATGTTTTGTATTGGCTACAGATGAAATGGCTTTTTAAAAAACTGGTTAACAAACAGCTGGTTATGAATGGAAATAAACAGTAGTAGGACACAGAAAACTGTCATTGCATTCTAGAAACATAACTGCAACGTGAACACACCAGGGTGTCCAGAGGCAATTCTGTGGCGAGTGCATGCTTACTGCACATTTCGCAGTCGATTCTCCCTGCACCAGAGGCAGTTGCTGTGCCAGCAAGAAGGGCTGGTGACTTTAATCCATGGTAGTGGGCACTCGAAAGAGTAAGACAACTGAGTGTTTAAGTATGTCTCGGTGGTGAGCCTGCAGTGGTCTCTCTCCTGATAAGGCCTGGGTGTCCCCACAGGGAGGGAGGCTCTCACGAGGGATGTACGGGCAAGTCCACGTCATATACTTGGCCAAAAGGCAAAGAAGAATTTTCTAATTTATTTTCCCTCTACTTAAGAGACTGTCCCTTCTTAATGAAGAGGACCATCTCTTTGACACATCTGCAGGCAGCTCTGGGGGGCAGGTGTTAAGCCCTTTCTCCTATCACACCCCGACTTCTTGGGTGCTGGCCATGCCACATGGGGCAGGCAGGGGCTGGGGCGGAAAGGAGCCCACAGCTCTGAGACGGGGGCCGGCCCCCACGGAACTGACTGGCATACAGCAAACACAGCCTTCACCCTGGCCTCCCCAGCAGCCCACCCTCCCCAGCAGTGGCAGCAAGAGTGAGGACAGGCTTTCTTTCCACCTGCGTGAGTGACAGTGGAAGGTTCCCCACCTCCTGTGGAGACCTGCTCGCCTGATCAGAAGGGCAGAATTTCTTCAGTAGAAGCAGCAGGAACGCGAGCAAGGCAACAGGAGGGAGGTGCCCCAACAGGAGCTGGAGGAGACAGAGGCAGGAAGAGCCTCTTATAGAAATCATGTGTGGGGCTCCCTCAGAAGAGTGCATTTTTCTTTAACTTTTTTCTTCTTTTTTACTATTTTTTATGAAGCAGGATGATTTCAGAGCATTTAAGGGTGTGGTGACAGACATAACGGAAAAACTCTAAGATAACATATTAAGCTAGAGTTTGATAAGAGATTTCTATGTTCTTAAAGGCTATATCAATTCCTTAGTGACGTCCACGTGAGCTCTGGTGAGTGGTCCTCTCCCTAATAAAGACGTCTCCTTCAGATGTCAAGCTAAGCTCTCCATCAGCCCATCAGAACTGCCTGTTACCACACGGCTGATCCTCTTACCCAAGGAAAATTGACGATGATGGAAAGCAACGCCGTACAGTGGAAATGAGCTGAAGAGGAGACGAGTTAGGACGAGGGTGTGCTGGGAGGAGGTGTTGTACAGAGGCAGGGAAGACAAATCGAAAGTAATTACACAGCGTTGCTTTTATTTCTAGTTTACCAAGGACCTCAAGCTTGCCCTTCATCTTACGCATGCACTGGCATCCTTAAGGAGAGCCAGCCCACCTCTCCCTTCCTTTCTCGAGTGCTTCTTTGACACCCTTCCGGGGGGAGCACTGGAGGGACGGGTCTCATGTGAGCTCACTCGTCAGCAAACACTGTTGAGCACACCGTGTCCCACACACTTCCCCAAACATCTGCAGGACGGGGCTTTGAGAGAAACATCAGCAACATCAAGCGGAACTAGAACAGCCATAATGGAAAGACCAGGACCCCGAACTGTCAGGGGAGAGCAAAGAATGAAACATCCACGTGTAAAAGCAAAGAGTGAGAACTGACCTCCGCGTGCAGGAGTGGCTGGTGCTCAGGCCTCAGACTCACCTGTTGGGTGTTCCATCAGGAGGCCTCGAAAATGCCAGCAACAAATGCACTTAGTAAGGGAGGGACATTGCAAAAGACAACTTAAAAAATTCACGTGCAATTAGTACACCATCCTCAGTCTGTTAAAATGTTTAATAAATGCATAAAAAGGAAGAAACATATATAAAGCGAAAGTTTATCACAAAATAAACTGGAATACAATCACTGAAGGCAATCATCATTAAATACATCAACATAATTTACAACATATCACTCATACAGAGGACGCAGCCAAATCCCCGCCAACACAGGGACATAACCCTCTAATTCAACCATAGCCTCGTTAAATGACAGTGGGCAACTGAGGCTGTGGAGTTGACAGGAGGACACAGGAACCAGCTGGTAGCTGAGCCAGGGAGATCACTGATCAATAACTGGTCAGGGGAATGATACTTCAAAAGGAATGCCTGTAGGAAATCTCAAAAAGTTTTTGTTCGGGTGCAGAAACAAATACGCCCACCACATCTGAACGTTCTCTGGTCAGATCTCTTGGTAAAATGATGCACTGAGTGACCGGGTTGTTGCCACATGGACTCCTGTTGAGAGTCCCCTGGCTCTGGGTGCGTTGCTGCACTCCTGTGGTGAACACACTCCTGTGGGGGGACACACTCCAAGCAGAAATGAGTGAGTGCACTTCCACTGGCCCTTGACTTTGGGCTGGACCCCCACACAGAGTGGAGGCCCCACTCAGACGCTTCCTACTGTGTCCTTCATGTCATCTCCAAATGTTACACTCCCCGAGGATTACAGAATATGGCTACAAGATTAGGACATCAGGTTAAGTTACTGTAGAACTAAAAATGTGTTAAGCGAAATTAAAATGCGATGAAAAACATCAGGAAACAGAACATTGTGATTCAGGAAACAGAACATTGTGATTAATTTACAGGACCCATTATACCCTTTAGCATTAAATGACAGAACTGGTTCTTTTCCCATACAACCAAAACGAGAGGCACAGAAGTACTACTGAATGCTGAATAATGGAATGCTGAGAATAGCAGGTAATAAATGGAGCTTTGAATGTAAAGTAAATGGAGAAAAGTCAGTAAAATCATCAGTATAGAAACTAGCTTTAAAAAACTCTTTATACAGATACGGAGCAATGTGAGATTGGTATGTTCTCGTTGCCCTCTTACTTGGGAATTGCCCAGGTGTTACATCACGGTGCCTAGCTTAGTTATTTCATAAAACCTTATTTCTTTGAGATGAAAAGGAACAAGAACAGTTTCTGCAGCTGGCATTCCCGGGCTTTGGCCTGTTAGGCCTGCGTAGCCGACGCCACCAGCAGTGGCGCGGGAGGGAAGCCCGTGGCGCAGGTTTGGCAAGGAGTGGCGGGGAAGGATGGCAGCGTAGGAGAGCCACCCTTTTTAACCCGACCCAACGCATTTTAATCCTCGCCCTAAATGCCTGCCCATTCCTCACAAGGCCTCACATTCCAGGGAACTGAAAAACCTGTTCCTTACAGGCAACAACACAGGCCTTCTTTCGTTCTTTCCTCTCACAACAAAGAAGCACGTTTTCTGTGAATGTGCTTTACATTTACAGCTCTCAAAAAATATGCCTCCTCAAGCAATTTATGACGCACTTTCCCTGAAGGTCAACTCCCCAGCCACACCAAGGGTGGGCGCTGTCGGTGCATTCTGGGGACTGGGGGCGGCAGCTCCACCCAGGGCCCCAGGGCCCCACCAGCTCTTAGGGGAGGGAGGGGCAGCAGGGGGCGCCAGTGGACACAGGGCCGCTGTTCCAGGAGCCATAGGCTCCATTCAGCCTTGCAGGATTCTACCGTGAAAAACCCACTCTAGACAGATAAGCAGAAAAACCCGCTTCCCCAAAACACTCGCCAGTTAGAGCACCTGCCACTCAGGCCTGTGGGCGCCCTTTATCATCCTACTACCTTAGACAATTATCTCAGAAATGGAAAATGGTGAGATGGGCTTTTATGGACAATAATCAGGCCTTTCAATTCTCTTCTTTTCTCTAGCTTCAATCCAAAGGACCTTTCTAGTATATAAAATGAGGGCTCTCTGGATTTATAAACAGAGCAAAGCAAAAATAAAAACAAAAACAACAAATAACCCCTCAGTAGTGCACACCAATAAACACCCCAGACTTCTAGGGCCATGGCGGGTGTGTCGCTGGGCGGAGAATGTGTTAAGCTCACATCCCAAGTGTTTAAAAGCAAACAAACAAAGAATCCACAATACAACAGGTGGACTGAACAAATATTGCCAGTAATCCCACTGCACCTCTCAGCAAAGACCCTCCACAGGAATGGTCTCCGGCCTGTGTTTGTAATAAGCAACTGTATCATTGTACACGCCAACTCCCCTCCATTTCTTGGGCATCAACAGGGCAAGGCTGTTCATTTTTAAATCTTCTTTATTCAACATTCAGAAGTGAACAGAATTGATTTAAACATTGTTTTTATTTTTCAAAAACCTGTGAAAATGTTTTCATCTCTTTGGATCCTTAATAATCTAGCAACACTATTTTGCAAAGTGGATGCCTACTTCTCAGACTAGAATATTTTCTTTGAAAATATTGAAGAGTATAAGAGACTTAAAGCAATAAAGGTTGTAATTTTCTACATAAAGAAAAACATGCATATGTATATATATATCCATTTTGAAATAAAGTCACAATGATTGATATAAATGCTTTCACAATTTTATTTCATTTAAACCATTTTTGGTGGTATTTAAACCATTACCACCAAAATGAAGCTTGTTTTCTAACGTGCTATTCAGCTATTTAACCTTTTCTGCACAGTTTAATTATATTTTTCTTGCTCCTTGAGTTAAGCAGAATAGTTTAAGGTTTCAAAACTGGAGACACCACATGCAGATGGGGTGCTTAGCATAATAGAAAGACTTCATTAAGAAGCCAGAACCTGGTGAGGTTTGATAGCTATGCTTGAAAAGGCACCTCAGATTGAAACTAGCATTAGAAATAGGTCAGATGACCAACATTTCAGGGTGAGGGAAGACTGCCCCAGAGTGAAAGAAAATCTCTGGAAATACAGAACCAACCAGGAAATGAATTCCATAATCGCTTAATATGTATCACAGGTTATTCACAAAAAGTCACGACAATTGTCACATGAGAGATCTCAACTCGGAGTAGATGCTGGAGACATTACCAATGCCTGAAGCCTCAAGGAGCTGCACACTCGTACAAAAGGCAAACCCGACATTTATCTTCAACAATTTCATGATCTTCAATAATTTTAAGAATTATAGTTAGAGACCAAAGCAAATTGTAGATACTCCTTAACTCCACGTTGCCCAGAGTTCTTGTGATATGCTACATGACTGCTCCACACTTCACTGCAGAGCCGCTTACGTTCCTGGAGGCCTCTCAGAATAAGCCCCGTATCAGCCAGAGAACAGCTGCATCTTACACGTTCTGTGAGCACGTCCAATAAAACTGGGGCTTTTCTGAAAAAGCTCTCTCCTTCCAAAATTACCCAGGTATCCAACACTCTAAGTCATGTGACATGTTATGTATTTGCTATGGGAATGTCACGTGGAGACTGGCTCTTTAATGAAACATCAGCCACAGATGCTCTATTCACAATCAACTCCAGAAGCTGCTGTGGGAAACAGAACCACAATAGGAGCGCTTTTTCTTGCGATGTATTTTTATCTACAGAACATTTAAATAATGAAACTTCACAGATTCTATATTCAAATTAAGGGAATAACAAAATAATACAGTTTTGATTCACAGACACACTCATTTATCCCTCCACCCTCTGCCTCAAAACAACTCAGACAAAAGAGAAACTTCACTCAAGGCAAATGGAAATTTGGAGTTTGTTCAAAAGTCCTCAATTGCAGTATTGTTACAAAGCAACTAGAAGCTAGCAGCACTGAGTCCGAGAAAAAATTAGCATAACCCAATGTTGAACCCCAAAGCATGGGCAGCAGAAGCAAAATCAGCCATAAAGCCCCCAAGCATAAGACATACAAGACCCCAGAAGACAGTGCTCTTTCTGCAATGCCCACATCCACACCACCCTAGAGACGCAGAATTCAGAATGTTCTTGCATTCCTGAGCCACATCCTGATTGCAATCCCTTGTGAGGAGGAGGACGAGGGTGAGTTAAGTGGAAATATTGTAAGCAGCAACCCAGGACCCCTCCAGTGGCCTATAAACATTTCTGGCAAGGACAACGCCCTAGACAGCTAAGAGGCCGCGTCAGCATCTCCTCTAATGGCTTAGTTCACCTGCTGATTTTCCTTCCTTTTCCATCTAAACTAAAGCGGACACACATTTGCGTGCTCCTCTACTCCTCAGAGCTCACCTTGCCTGAGCCCCGCTTGGGCACACCCCTGTCACCGCCAAAGAAGCGCCCCAGGGAGTCGAGGATGCCCGTGTCTCTGTGCCTCGGGAGGAAGCCATGCCTGGCGTGATCCATGGTGCTGGCTGAGGCCAGGTACTTTGATCCGTGCCTCTGGGAGGGTCTCTTCTGTGACGCCATCACATCCAGGCCCTCCGGAGCAGCTGCACTGTCCTCTTGGATGGTCTGGAGCTCGTCTGACTCCGAGGGTCTGTCTTTGAAGGTGTTGTCCTCCCTCCCGGGGGCATCTCGGGAAAAGAGGCGGATCAAGTGGGGGCGGCCCCCTGGGTCAGCTGGGTTGGCGTCCTGCCAGGCATTCTTTGGGTCCGCTGTGCGCTTGGAGTCTGTCACCGCTGTGTCCTGAGAGGGGGTCCCATTGTTCTGGTCCACATCTGCCTCTCCTGCAAACAACAGTGAGATATGAATACGGGCTGTGCAAAGCAGAGCGCAGGACAATGCTGCTTTCTTCCAGGGCCAGTGAACTGGTTGTCTCCTACAAAATCCACAGAATGTGCGTGGGGCCCTAAAGCTACATGGCAGCTCCAGACCGCCTTTGGCAGAAACCAACCTGGACTGAGCACCCTCGTTGCGGCTCTGTGTTTCCGAGGCCCTGGGAACTGCTTCAGTTACCCAAGATTTGGCACTACAGAACGCGCACCAGGGCTTCCTGCAGAAGCGGCCTGCTGAGCGAGCGCAAACCCGTCCACATTTCCCCTTGGGGGCTGCTGCTACTGCGCCTGGGGAGTCCAGGATTGCGGGCACCTCTTGGGGCATTTCTCATCTAAAGAGCCTCTGGCGCATAAGCTAAACCTCTTGGGAGCATTTATTTGACAAAAGGTATTTTTAGTGTTCTTGGTAAAAATGGAACTTCCCACATCTTTTTGCAATTCATGCCTTAAAGAAACAGGGCATTTAGAATTCTTTAGTTTCCAGATTCCACAAGAGGCCTCTTGCATTGGAGAATTGTTTATTCAGGATATTTTGATTTGGCTTCTCCTCTGTAAGCAGCAACGATTAGAAAGTTTAAAGGGGGAATGGGGTATTTCATATTATATACCACCATCTCATAGCTTTCTACAAAAAGATAACAGTATTTCTCTCAAGAATGGCAATACATCCATTTTGCTCTCAAGTTACAAGTTAGGTTTAAACGAACATCATTTAGTTAGTCTCCTCTCCAAACTTTATTATTTATCTACAGAAAATGTGGGTTTACTTACATTTCCTGTAGTCCCACCCATCCATCTAACCAATCTGTTCACTGATATTTACCCAATAGCATCCATCCATCCATTCATCTATCTAGCCACCCATCTATCTACCCACCCAGCCATCCAGCCACCCATCCACCTATCCAGCCACCCACTCATCCATCCATCCACCCATCCATCCACCCACTCACCCATCCATCCATCCATCCACCCATTCATCCATCCACCCACCCATCCATCACCCATCCACCCACCCACCCATCCATCCATCCACCCATCCAGCCACCCACCCATCTATGCACCCATGCAACCACCCATCCACCCATTCATCCATCCACCCACCCATCCATCTACTCACCCATCCAGCCACCCACCCAGCACCCACCCATCCACCCATCCATCTACCCACCCATCCATCCACCCACCCATCCACCCATTCATCTATCCACCCATTACTTACTGATGTACTGTTCTAGATGGATGAGATGTGGTCCTTGTCTCATGAACATAGATGTAAATGAATGTTATGAGAGGAATACTGTCCCCCAAAATGGCATGTCCAAGTCCTAACCCCTGGTACCTATGAATGTGACCTTATTTGGAAATAAGGTGTTTTGTAGGTATAATCAAGTTAAGATGAGGTTGTACTGGGGTAGGGTGGGCCTGATCCAATGACCAGTGTCTTGATAAGAAGAAGAGGATTAGGACACAGACACAGACACTCAGGGAAGAGGCCATCTGATGATGGAAACGGACTGGAGTGATGTGTCTACAAGACAACGGACACCAAGGGTTTCCAGGAACACCAGGAGGTAGGAGACACGGAACAGACTCTCCTCTAGAGCCTTCAGAGCCAGCACGGCCCTGCCGACACCTTGATTTCAGATTTCCAGCCCCCAGAACCGTGAGATAAGAAATTCCTGCTGTTCACCTAGTCACATAGTTTGTGGTACTTCGTTGAGGTAGCCACAGGAAATGGATACAATGTACAGTTTCATATCAAGTATGATATGAAAGAAAACAGAGCAGGTGAGGGGCATCAGGAAGGCCCCTTGAGGGAACATCGGATGAAATGAAAGAGCGGCCATGTGAGGACTGGGGGTTGGGGTGTTTCTGCAGAGGAGAAGGACACCCAACAGGAGGTCTGGGCAGGAATAAGCTTGGCATGTTCACACGGGAGAGGCAGAAAGGTCGAGAGCCTGAGCGAGCTGGTGCAAGGCCTGAGGTGAGAGGGAGTGGGCGAGCGGGAGGATGGTGGAGGGGAGAAGGTGAGGTGGAGGATGGTGGGGGGGAGAAGGTGAGGTGGAGGATGGTGGAGGGAGAAGGTGAGGTAGAGGATGGTGGGAGGGAGTGGGTGAGTGGGAGGATGGTGGAGGGAGAAGGTGAGGTGGAGGATGGTGGAGGGAGAAGGTGAGGTGGAGGATGGTGGAGGGGAGAAGATGAGGTGGAGGATGGTGGGGGGAGGTGAGGTGGAGGATGGTGCAGGGGAGGAGGTGAGGTGGAGGATGGTGCAGGGGAGGAGGTAAGGCGGACGA